TAAAAGCTTGTCTTGGGGTCTGAGGCTGTAGCCCAGTAAGGAAAGCAAACACTAAAATACAGCAAAGGCCACAAGGTAGTTATTCTGGCTACATGGGTAGCCTGAAGAGGATGGGAGCAGAGACTTGTGTGTGATGCTCTAAGTGCTATCCTCAGTGGTCCAGCTGCTCCCTCAAGGCTGCCAATGACACAACGTTCTAGAACACAACGTTCCAGGTGGTTTTGGATATTTTATTTGTTTGTTTGTTTTGTTGTTGTTCCCCTGCAAACAGATCTAACCTGCAGTATTGTGCCTGTCCGATGCAAAGACTGGGGAAGTTGCCAGAAAGTTGTGCCAGGGTATGCGAGACACAGTCTGCTGTTTCTAACCTATTTTGCTTTCCTTTAAGTTTCCTATCTCCCTAGTCATAGCCGTGAATCTCTGAAGAGACATGTACCTACTGCCAGCATTCAACAGTCCTGAACTTCCGCACTCAAGACCTCTAGCACTCACCATAGCAACTAGATGTGTGCTTAAGGGGTAAGCAGAGTGGGACAGTGACTTGATAGCCAACATCTGCTGAAGACTACTAGAGCCCCGGTGCTGCAAAGGTAAGGTGACTTATGCATGGTCTAACAAGAGGTACATGGCCCAATCCCTTCTAAAGCTATCAGCTCTACAAAGACGGGGCAAAGCTGTACACTCTGGGTTGTTGTTACTTCTCAGTCTGCAAGCCTGTAGTTTATGCACGAGGGTTCATTCCTTCTTTCTCCGTATGCTTTCTGACATGGGCAGGAGGTCTCACCTCCTGCTTGAACTTGAAGCAATTCTCCAGTCTCACCTTCCCCAGAGAAGGCTGCGGCGGCGGCGGCGGCGGCGGCAGCAAATGACACATAAGAAGGGTTTCCGCTTTGGAACAGGTCTACAAAGGCTTAGAACCAGGGCTCAGGTCCCCTCGGTCACGGTCACATTTGAGTCAGTGATAAGTGAAGACTCCAAGGACTGGCCATTCTCCCTTCAGGCCCCAGGCCTGGCAGAGATGCAGCTTGTTTGTTCCTGAACCTCACTCCTCAAATCCTTGCCCTGGGCATCTTCCAGGGGTCCAGGATAGGACTGGTTTCTGAGGCCCTCCTCATCTACCCTTACTTCAACTGGTAGGAAGTCAACAAAACACCTCTCCCGGAAGCCTTCAGTAATCTAGGTAGGGCTGTAGTCAAAGCCCTTCCCCAGCAGCCCTTTGTTAAGAATCATAAGCATGTGAACAGGGCTAAAGAAACACTGTCCCAACCCTGAATTATCCGCCTAACTTCCCTGCTGAGTGACTCTCCGGAGGGGGCTTTTTCCAGCAGCCTAGGGATTTGTCGGCTCAGTTGGTGGTTTGATCTGCCCTTCTTCCCACCGTACGCAGGTAAGGAAAATGAGCTCAGAGACGAGCCATCTTTTGCCCCAAGTCACACAGCGAAAGTCCGCGGAGTGGAGGGCAGTGGTGGAATTCCTGGCGGCCCTTGGCGCCCATTTGTCTGCCCGCTTCTGATACCCGGGTTCGGAGAATAGGCCTCTAACAAGCGGCCCATTAGAAGGAATTGTCACTCCTCCGGGAGTGAGGTTGTCCCATTAGGGCGAATTGTCATTCCTCCTGGAGCGAGGTTGTCCTGGCTCCGCGCAGGCTGAGTGCCGGGCCGAGAGCAATTAACGCGGCTCCGGCGCGGGCAGCCGCCTCTGCCCGGGGCAGCGGGGGCGGGGCGCCCGGCGCGGCTGGAGCCGGTCACCCGGCGCAGCCCCTTCCCCCGGAGCCCGCCTTTCATCTCCCCGCGCCTGGCGCCTACCCGCAGCCCCGGCCCGTCTACAGCCTTCTCTGCCCCTCCCCCGGCCCCTCCTAGCCACTGCGACCCAGCGATGCGTCCTCGGGGTTGCAAACGCCCAGGTCGGTGCTGCTGGGGCGCTCCACAGTTTGCAGAGTGCCTTCACCTTGGAGTTCGGGGCGCGCGTGCGCGGCTGCTCCACGTAGGGTCCGGGTTCCTGTGACCTGCATCGAGGGAGTGGGAAGCTCAGGAAGGTGCAAACTTAGGCCCAAGGGGAATTCGAGTATGTCTCACCTCCGAGGCTTTTCCGTCGTTAGTCAGAGATACAGTCTCAGCCTATAGCGATGTGTTTGAAAAGCAAATGAGATCCTGCTCAAGTTCAGGCTCTTGGGCAAGTTGTAAAGGTGATGCTTCTTGGTGGCTGGGTTCCGATTGGAGCCACACTTTAACCGCTTCAAGCATTAAAGCTGGATAAACATTATTCTAACCACCCCGGAGTAAAAGTTTTACTGCGTGCGTGCGTACGTGCGTCCTAGATGTCAAAGCCAGTCCTCCGCTCCGGGAAGACACCCAAACCTGCGTCTTTTCAGGTGTGAAATCTCTACTCTGAGATTTCACGTAGAGCCTGCCTCGGGGTCGGTGAAGGCCTATGATAGCTCCTTATTTTCGTGTACCCGAGACAAAGAAAGCGTTGGATAAATTAATATTGCTTTTGATATACAAGAATATTTTCAAATTGATTCCCTATACCCACTACTTATGAAACCCACTGAAGCTAATTCCCACAAAAGTCATCCGGAGACATGACTGCCCCTTATTTTTGAGCCACGCAGAAGACGCGAATAAAATATTCTGAGGGTATGCAAAACTCGTGCAGCAGATAGGGCTTTTCTGGACGGGCTAACTCTGCCCAGGTCCTTTTCCTCACTGGTCCTCATTCTAGCAGAGTTGGGGAGGTGCCTGGCATAGGGATGCAGAGCACCAGCTGTCTCCTTGGCCATGCCTGTTCATGGCCAGAGCTTGGCACCCTGGAGAGCAGTACCAAATATTCCTTTTCTCCCTCTGTCTCTGTGTCTTACCATTTCCCCAAAATAGTGAGGGAGAGCCTGGATTTTTCTCTGCCAGAAGAAAATTAAAATACAGACATTCCAATGGAATTAATTCCCATACCCCCCCCCCTTCCTTTTTTAAGCTTCCTAGGAATCAGCCTTTGCTCTTAACTGACACATCTCAAGGATGGGGTTTGGGATTTTTTTATAAAGCATTGACTGGGTTCAGTCCAACTGAAATGTGTACTTTATTGTACACTTTGGCAATGGGGGGGCTAAACGAATTTTAGGTTTACTTCCACAATATATGACCCCACATCTTGCCTCCTGCATTGAGAAGACACGGAACTTAATCTGGGTTTACCTGATTTGTATTTGAGATTCCTATCATTAGATATGACTCCAGGGAAAATGCATGCATCTCCAGATAGATAGCTTTCATATAGTCTTCTCTCCGGGCTTCCAGTTTTAGCAACAATACCAAAGTGCTTGTATCTCGTGGTAGGAAAAAGTCCTAAGGTTTGTTTTTATTTTTTAAAGACTCCTTTAAAACTTAAATTTTCAAAAGCTTTTCCAAAACTGAAGTGAAGTATCTAGTGAAGGCTTTTTATCCTATAAGATTTTATCCTCCTTGGGTCTCCTCAGACCAGGGAAGTTTACTCCAGCGAATGTTTGGAGCGATGGACACTGTTTCAGAGAGGTCCTCTGCAAAGAGTTTAGGATCTGTAGGTCTAGGAGACTCTTGAACTGGGGTACCTGCCAACCTTTGGTCAGCCAATTTCAAACAATGGTCCTTTCCTTCTGTGCTGGAGGAACTGCTTAGCTTGAAGCATTTGCTGCTGCTGGACCTGGGCTGAGCATGATTCTCTTTCCCTGGCCACAGAATGATCTTTTGGGTATAGGAAAAAGCTTATGGGGCCTGAAATGTGTGTTTTGAAGTAATCTGTCTGTGACTGCTGGCCTGCGGGGTCTGAACCATTCCAGGCCTCTGTTTCAAAACTCTCTTCTCCTCCAATGCATTGATGCAGTTGGTCACTGATGCTTCGGGACTGTCTTCAGTTAGAGTAATTTATGGTGGGGTATGGATAGGTATACAGCTTAAAAATTCAAGAATTCAAGTCAGGTGAGATATACTTTTTCCAAAAATATTCAGGTTTGGGGTTTGCAAACTTGAAGCCTGTCATTTCCAAGATTTTCAGGGAGTATAAAGCCACCAAATCCTGGCACCTGAACCCCAATGACAAATAGAAGCTCAAAACCTCATGAATACACATTTGCACTGGCCTAGAGAGGAAATTCAGGGGGCAAGAAAACACACGCATTTCCAATTTCTAAAAATAGTCCTGTTTCGAGAGAGGAGGAAATGGAGACCATTTGTATAAATTAGCCACTAGGAATCAATCGGCGCCAGGTCTGCTGCCATATACCTATAATCTCAACACCTGGGAAGAGGCCAGGGATGATCTCAGCAAGTTCAAGATCGTCCTGAGCGACTTCTAAGCTAGCTGGAGAGCAAGAGCCTATTTTAAAGGAAAAGAAAACTAAGAGAAGAGAGTGAAGGGAAGAGATTAGTTGGCATCTCTTGGCCACCTCTCAGCCTCCCTCATCCTGGTCTTGAGGAATGTGTTAAAGTAACAGCTAATGTCTTAGAATCCTCTCCAAAGACAAGAGGGTTCTCAGCACCATGCCTCAACTATTTCCATTATCAAAAATGCTGGCCACTGTTTTGCACTATAGTTACAAAGTTACATTAACTTGGGCTCATAGTTGGAGCGTTAGAAATGTTCCAGGAATGCCATCTGCAGATTTCCAACGTTCTCTGGCGGGATCGCGTGGGATGGGCACCAGGTACGCTTTAAAGAGGGGTTAAAAGACAGAAGAAAGGGGACTCGGCAAGCTTCCTCTTTAAACAATCGGCTTTAATTACGCCCTGGACTTTTCAGTTTGGGCGATTATAACCCTTGAGGGATCGCCTAATAACAACTCTGCTGACTGCTCCTGTAATTAACTCCTAATTTATTTCAAAAAGGGGGGGGGGTTAGAGGGCCCCAGCCTCTCCAGAGAAAGCCAATCAGAGGCGAGCATCCGTGGCGTCAGGAGCAGGGCCGTCGCCAATTGGCTAAGCCGAGTCTCTCACTTCCCCTCGGAGGAGAGGCCGGGCTCCCGGCGCGCCCCTGCCGGCTCCCCCCGGCAAAAGTTGGAGTCTTCGCTTGCTAGTTGCCAGCGGAGTCGCGCGCCGAGAGCTAGACGGCGCAGAAAGTCATGGCTTCTCCGGCCAAAGGCAGTGACTTGTTTTCGTCAGATGAGGAGGGCCCCGCGGTGCTGGCCGGCCCGGGCCCCGGGCCTGGAGGTGCGGAGGGTATCGCGGAGGAGCGCAGGGTCAAGGTCTCCAGCCTACCCTTCAGCGTGGAGGCGCTCATGTCCGACAAGAAGCCGCCCAAGGAGTCGCCCGCGGTGCCACCCGACTGCGCATCGGCTGGCGCTGCCCTGCGGCCGCTGCTGCTGCCGGGACACGGCGTCCGGGACGCGCACAGTCCCGGGCCTCTCGTCAAGCCCTTCGAGACCGCCTCGGTCAAGTCGGAAAATTCCGAAGATGGAGCGGCATGGATACAGGAGCCCGGCCGATACTCCCCGCCGCCCAGTGAGTGTGCGCCAGGGACCGGACCCGGGCTGGATCCGCGCGTGGGGTCCCAGAGGGGCTGGGGACGGGTGTTAACAGGATGATGCTCTTGACCCCTTGGAAACCCAGTTCAGCGAGAGGTCCGCATCCCAGAATCCCTAGCTGTGCGAAGTCTAAGGTACCTGCGCGCTGGCTGGCATTTTGAAAGCCAAAGCCCAGTTGTTGGTTTCTGCAGCCCTTAACCTCCTGCTCCGGACGCTTCATGTTTGTGTTTCACTGCCCGTTATGGTACCTGCCCTGGCATTCGGGGAGAGCCACTGTTTCGTTTCGTTGAGACAGGGTTTCTTGTGGGTTTGGTATTGAACTCGATATGCATCTCAGAATGGTCTTGAACTCCTCATCTTCCTACCTCGAAATGTTGGAATTGCTGGCGTGCACCACCACGCCGGACTGGGATCCACTTCTAATGAGTCTCGAAATGTGTTTTATTGACCTTCAAAATATACAGGCAGTTCTGCGAAGTGCACCCCAACTGTAAAAATAAGGCAATTGGAGGTTAACTAGACGCGGAAGAGAAATCGTTGGTTTTCTTCGAGTTCCAGTGTTCAAGCCAGATCCTACCACGGGATGGTTGATATAGGCTGATTGGGAAAGGAAGCTTCTCCGTGTTCTAGTTCGTTGTTGGTTAGGTTATGAGTTTTGCTGCGAGCTAGTTAGCTCAGGCCAGACCCTCATGGGCTCTCCCGGTTCACAGTAATAATTACCATCATTTCTTCAGAACTTGGGAGTATACAGTGTGGTGGCCACAGGCTCACCAGGGTTGGCTGCTTGCTAGAACCGCAGTACAGGCAGAGGCATGCCACCTGTGGCTACCTCTTCAGACATGATGGCTAGTGTTTTAAGAGGACTGCGCTGGCTTGTCCCAGGTGACCATCCATGCTTGCACTGAGCATGGGGTTCTGGTGCTTTCTCGCACCCTCTATGGCAGGGCTGGCCCTATTGAACGTTTACACCTGCCGGTGACTTCTAGTGAGGCTGTGTTGACTGCCTTCCCTTTAGGGTCCTGGGTGCTTTTACTATTAACATTTGTGGGGCCCACTCCCTGTAGCTTTGTTTAGTTTTATCTCTTGGCCTTTGCGATTTATCTGCTCTATTGCCCCTTTTCCTCATTCCCCCGGCCTACCCCTCATTAAACTTTGGGAAGGTTGAGAAAGGACAGGGTTTGTGGAGGGACTTTCCAAGCTCAGCTGGAAGAGAAGTTGTCTTCATTTCCACCTCTCAGCCCTCAGGACTAGAGATACATGGTATTTCGTGAACAAAACAAGACCATATACCCAGGCGTCAGTGGCTGTCCCCGCTGGCAGTCTCTCTCCACCCTGTTGGAAATTCTGAAAGGCAGAAAGGGCCCAGAGATTAAGGACTTAAAGAATTTAACTCAAGTTTGCACAGCGCTTTTCACTATATTATCTTATCTGATCTCCTTTGTGTGGCAGCAGAGAGCCTCTTGTTAACAGATGACGACACTTCTTAGCAGAGTTCAGAGGGATCAGCAGTTTGGGCCCATGAAAAAGCTCTTGGAAACATTTATTTACTCATCACCCCAAAGTGGGTTTCTGGGCACTCCAAAACAGTACTCCAAGCCACCCAAGGGATAAGTAGTATTTATCCATTTTATTGACAGTGAAATGGAGTCTCCGCAACGTGACGAGTCTTAACTTGTTTAACAAATTTGGAGTGCCTGTGTATTCCGAGGCCGGGGGCAATGCCCCATAGCACGTCTAGGATTCCAGCCTTAAAAAGCAACGTTGGCCAAAGGTCAGAAATCCTGCATTTTTAGGCCTGGAGGTCTGGGAGGGGGCAGACTCTCTAGCTTCTTTACATTGGGCTGTACTCCCTGTCCTAGACAATGCCTTTTTATAAGAGAAACTAGCGGCTCTCAGGGAAGGCTTCACTTGAAAACAGGGCTTCTTGGTACTTGAGGCCTGGAAGTGTCAAGAATCAGCTGGGAGCTGGAGTGGGAGGGACCCACTAACCCTGGTCCTGGTTTTGTTATTTGAAGAAAGTGGGCTAAAAGTTGTTTTGCTTTGGCTGATAAAATGGGGTGGGGAAGAGCTTGGGAGTGGTGGGGGAATTTTCCTGTGTCACAGCTTCGCCACATATGCACAATCCCCATGGCCTGGACTTTGTAAGTCTCCAAACTGCAGCAGGAGTGACCCATGCTACCCTGGTTCAAGTCGCCAGTGGGGACAGCAGCGAGTGAGTGCTGTGAGAGTTTGGAGTCTGAAAGGGAGCCCTGGATGTGCTTGGGAAGGGAGCAGGTTCTGCACGTAGCCAGCCTCGGTGTTGGTGTGTGAGTTGAGAGGAAAGCCCTTCCCCTCGGCTTGCTTAGGGATTAGCATATGCAAAAGCAAGGCCTTGTTCGGAGTCTCTTACCCGGGTTTTCTTCCAGGTTTCTGTTTTCTGATGGCAGAACCTGCCACTTTGTAAAGTTACAGTCAGTGTGACACTAGGAGAGAGGCTGGGTTGGGACTTGTGCTGTGTCACTCTCAAGTATGAAGTGTAAATTCTTCTTTGGGCCACCAGAGTAACTAAACAAGAAATGTTACATTCCCCTGCGAATACACAGGAGTAACCACTCTGGCTACTTTAGAAAAATCAGAATATCTTGTAAAAGCCAAAAGCAGAAAAATAATTGTTCAACATTCTATCCTTGTCACTTCACACTCCTCCCCTGTCCACGAGGAAAACAAGACCAGAATTAGTTTAACTGCTGCCTTGGAATCACCTTGAGGCCCTATCCCTGAGCTTCCTATAACAACCCATTTTAAACGGAGTCTGGACGCTGTTGCCATGTCTTTATTTTGCTTGTTATTCCCACTTCTGAATTCCAACAACAAAATAACCATTTACACATTTGCCCTAAACCATGGGATGGGTGAAAGAGACTAAGATGCCATCGTCATAGTTCAGAGGCACAGTGATTTCCCTTGACATGTCCGTTTATGAGCGAGCTAATTTTCCCCCATCTTAGTAAAGTTTATACTGCCAAAGCACACAGCCAAGAAATGTATCCTACATCCCGATCTGTAAAATGATGTTGGGGTTTTATAATCTGTAGGGTGCATGGAGTGACAGCTGTGGTTGTTTATTGCTTAGATGGGCCTGTCCATCCCTGGATGCTATTATCATACTGTGGGCCTTATCTGCATGATTATCCTTCATAAATAGGCTGATGCATCCCGCCTTTTCTGGTTCAGAGAGCCGTCCAAGGCTAACCCAGCATCTAACACCCTTTTCATTTCCCTTACCATTGAGAACAGGGATGAGTTCAGGCTCCCATTTTAAAGACAAGAGATTGAATTCTGAGGGAGTTTTATTTCTTAGATAATGTTGAGCTTCTGTGACTTACAGAAGGGTTTAGTTGTGGTTTCTATTTCCATTTTCTGCAATGCAGTATGTTTTCCATATAAAAAGTTTCATGACCACATTACTCAAGCTGATATAAAAATATAGCAACTGCCATTTAAATGTGTTCTTTCCTACCACTGACTACTTCTCAGTGTGCGTGTGCAAACGCGCACACACACACACAGAGAGAGAGAGAGAGAGAGAGAGAGAGAGAGAGAGAGAGAGAGAGACAGAGACAGAGAGATTTGACAAAGGCACCTTTTTGAAAAATGAAACAATGTTTATGTGTTCTCTTAGGCAAGGAGAGAATGGCACATTTGCTAATTGATTCCCCTTTCTGTTCTTTAGGACATATGAGCCCTACAGCCTGCACCCTGAGGAAACACAAGACCAACAGGAAGCCACGCACACCCTTCACCACATCCCAGCTTCTAGCCCTGGAGCGCAAGTTCCGCCAGAAACAGTACCTCTCCATTGCAGAGCGGGCTGAGTTCTCCAGCTCTCTGAACCTTACAGAAACCCAGGTCAAAATCTGGTTCCAGAACCGAAGGGCTAAGGCAAAGAGACTGCAGGAGGCGGAACTGGAAAAGCTGAAAATGGCTGCCAAACCTATGCTGCCCTCAGGCTTCAGTCTGCCTTTCCCTATCAACTCACCTCTGCAAGCAGCATCCATTTATGGAGCATCTTACCCATTCCATAGACCTGTGCTTCCCATCCCACCTGTTGGACTCTATGCCACGCCTGTTGGATATGGCATGTACCATCTTTCCTAAAGAAGACCAAATGTACAGATTCCAGGATGGATGTTTTCATAAAAGCATTCCCCTCCCTCTCTGAGAAGACTGTGCCAGTCCAGCTCCTGACGGCAAGCAAATCTTGCATCTGCATCACCACCCTGTCAGTGGGCCAGAGCCACTTGATACACAGTGAATTTATTATTTAGGTGAGAGGCACCGAGACAGATTTTGTTTCCATTATCTTCCAAATGTCCCCTTTTTCTCTCACAAATATTGGCTCTGCTAGTTTTTATGTATAAATATATAATAAAATATAAGACATTTTTATATGCCAGATGTAAAAATTCAAGTTATTTTGAAAGGCAAAATTTATATATACATTTATCCATTTTTTTCTAGATAGCATCTTAAGATATTCTGTTAAGTCTGCTACATTTTCTTAAAGGGAAAGAGATTTTTTGCAGAATCTGCTAGGATTTGAGAGGATGGTGAACTTGCTTATGGGAAACATACCAGAAGTAGACAGGGTGCATACAAGGAGGCGGTTCAGATAGATTCTTGCAAATGAAGGGAGGTGTGTAACATGCTTGTTTTTTATGTGCATAAGAGATGCACATGTGGTCCTATTTTTCCTCTTTTCTCCACATTGCCTTTCCTTCTTTATTAAGGTCCTCCAGAGGAGGCTGAGAATAACCCTGAGAAGTCCTCAGGACCAGGTAGGAAATAGGAAAACTTGCTAACTCTTATCAGGTGGGCCTTTACTACATCCCAGGTAGTTGGAGTTAGAAAGAGTTGAAAGGGCAAATCGTGTTTGGAAGAATTGATTTCTGTGAAATGCTAATTACATCAGTCCTCACATGTTGCAGAGGCGATTGGGGGAGGATGTGGTAATTGCTTACAAAACAAATATCTTGTAACTGTTATTCCTATTTTAAATATTCTTCAACAATCCATAGGATCAGGAAGGGAAAAACCGTGCTTCTCTGCATGTGTGCTTACTGTATGTGCTAAACTTATTAGGGAAGTTTATTACTCTAACATGTTGGGGGCAGAGGGTGAAGTCATCTTACTGACTTGCTGAAGATGGTGTTGTCAGACAACAGTCAGCTTGGTGTTTCACCTTCCTGTCCATCTTTTCCACCAGTATATTTTTATCCCATTGAGAGGGTGTCTTGTATAATTTTATATATTATATGGAAGAGTTATTTCTTATCTCTTACTCTGATTTAAATTAAAATGTTTTATTGCAGTAAAGTTTGTCCCAACTCAGTTATTTTAAAAAGCACTCTATTCTTAGCTAGATGGGGTGGGAAGGATCCAGATAAGAGGGAGAGCTGGCATTTTTAATTCTCCCATTAATGTAAATCAAATCGAGTTTTGGCCAAATTTTGGTGGCAGAGGAGTCAGCTGCAAGTCCTGGGACACTTGGAAATGTCAGCTGGAAGCCTGTACGGTTGAGGGAGAAGCTGTTGAAAAGTTTGTCAGGCTGTGGTAAAGGTGGGCTTTTTCAAAGTGGTGACGCGGTGTTCCCCAGACCCTGTTAACCTGTAAATGGGCCTGGGAAAATGTTGAACTCGGAAATTTGCAACCACCAGAACCAGTGAAGTTGAGAAAGGGGTCTTTACCGCTCTGTACTGGTGGGAGCAGAAAGAGCTTGCTTGGGAGCAGAAAGACCTTGCTTGCTCAGTTGGGAAGCCTGAAAAGGATGCTGGGGCCTCTGGCCCCGGAAGAGCGCAATTTTCTATCTGAAGAGGGCTAACCAGCATACCTATCCCAAAAGAACTTGGGCACACCCTCCCTGCATCAGACTTAGAGTTTCAGGCACAGCCATAACAATAAGAATAAAGGTGGGGGGAGTCTGAAGATGATGTTAAACCCAAGTTTTCTTTTGTGCTGGTGATGCCTTTCGTTTTTCCTTTGGAGGCGGAAGCTTCTGTCTGCTTGGGTACGCAGAGATGAAGGGGCCTAAGAACATCGGGTTGTGTGAGTGAGTGATGACTGAGGCGGAGAGTTAGCATTTTCAGGGACTTGCCAGCACGTGGCACTCACCTTGGAGGTGGGCACCCGAAAATCCATGTTTGTGACCTCATCACGGTGGCCGGGCCCCTTTCCTTAGATCTAAACCTATCCCGCACACACTGGAAGTTGGAGGATGGCGTCCTGCCGCCTGATTACCACTCTCAGCTGAGCCACGGGCTGGTCCCAGAGTCACCAAAAACCCGTGCTTCTGCTTCTCTGAGGTCCGTTCCAGGCCAGAATCTGCCACATTCATTTAAGAGATGCGGTTTCCCAAGTAGCAGTCAAGGGGTCCCTAATTACCCTGTCCACAGAGCTTCCTTCCCGGCGCCTTGTGGACCGGTGATAAGGTGATGATAGCGGGAGTGGGGACCTGGACACGCGGGCCTCCGGGTTAAGGCTCAGCTTGCCTCCAGAGGTAAGGTATTAATTCCTTAGTATGATTCTGAGGACCCGGTCGGACAAGTGGTGTAAAGTGGAATCAGGGTGGCTGGGATCACGCACGTGATCCTAGATCCAATACTCAGAAAGGAGAGCCAGGAAGAGTTGCTCTGGCTCAGAAGTGGATAGGCTTTCCCTGCCGTGGATGGAGGGACAGAACACTCTGAGCTGCTTACCACCCTCCTGTCTAGGTAGGGTCTCACCTTGTCCAGCCTGGTCCTGCACAGGGTGTCTCAGAGACCTGAGAAGGCTAGAAGGCCTTTGCTTGCCCAGGACCCACACCTGCAGAGACAACTGGAAATTAAAGCTCCAGGTACTTCTTTGACATCTTTGGTCATCTATGCATCCACCACCAGTGACCTGGCATACAAATACACCTTCCCTTCCATTCTTTAATGCTTCCCACAAAAACAAAACAACTTTATACAGACTCACTGCTTTTTAAAATAGGGGGAAAGGAACAGGAGTTTGCATAGATGGAGCTGAGGAGTCGGCATTTAGGAGGCATCCTTTCTTAACCAGTATTTGTCACACATCCTTCAGAGAGGTTCTACTTGTCACAGACAGTCGGGGAAACTGATGTCCAGAGAGGTAGCTCACTGAGCTCATAGATGATGACTATGTCTGGAGAGTCCTTGAATGGAAGAGGTGGCCTAGCAGGCGCGCTCAGACAACAGGCGGGGACCTGGAGGGCCGGCTTTGGAGTCCTGCACCGAGTGGCACCCCTCATTGCAGAGGGGCTTCCGCAGGGCAGGGCATCTCTGTCGCGTTGGCCCTGGGGACTCAGGCCGCCCCTCCCCCTCTCGGCCCTGCTTTGGGGATTTGGGGGCAGGGGCCGTAGGAGGTAGGCCGCTGAGGCCTGGCTCAGAGCGGGGAGCTGGCGAAACGTCTGCCTGACCCGACTGAAAAGAGGATGCCTGCCTTTGAGCGCAACCTTGTCTGACCGACTGAAAACTCCCACGGCCATTCTTCGCTCTGAAAGCCTCTCATTTGCCACGGGTTGGAGAGGCCATTGCCCCACCCCCATTCCTTTTCCACTGCCGGGCTGGAAATAAGCATAAACCTCATTTATAAAGGAACCCACGTCACACACACACACACCCTCCCCAAAATCACAGGGCCTGGTTGGTGAAGTCGATTGTGCCTGCTTCCCCTTTCATGTACGAACAACAAAAAAATCCGAGATTGGTGATGGTACAGGCCGCTTTAATGAAATAAAGTAGTCACAGCAAGGAGGAAAAGCCTCCTGTCAACCTCCAGGCCCCTGTACCCGCCCCTCACCCCAGACACCCTCTCCTTCCACCCTCCCAGAACAAAATGAGCAGCAGTAAAACGGCTTTCTGGAATAGCCCGCTTCAAAGCGGAGCGGAGGACTCGCTGCAGACTCCTCAGTACTGCCCCGATAAGGCTCTAATAGCCGAATCCAAACTCCATACACCTCCGACTTTCCAACCTCCTCCAACCTCGCTGCATTTGTTGATGAAAACACTTTGATGTCCTGGGTCCTCCAATAATTATTATTATAATTTTAAACAACCTGGTATTTTCCATTACTAACGGCTCAAGCTTTGAAGTTACACCTCATAATTTCCTAAATTAAATAAATCATTTTAAGTTTGCACTGGGAGGCTTTTAATAGCAGAGAAAGGAATATCATTATCTTATTGAGACCCAATTGTGGTGGCTCCAGCCTGGCTGTAGCTGGGGGCAAAGCAGACCTAGTCTAACAGACATACTTTATTAACCTCCCATAACTCTTGAAAGAACAGTTTTATATTTTCTTTGATTTCCCCCCTCCCTCTCTTATTTTAAAGCTGTCCCAACCTTTAATTAGTGCTTAATATGAAAAGCATTATGTTTTTAATGCTATGTAATTTACCAGCGGCAACAGGCCAACTTAACAATTGTTTATTAGACTTGGTTTTTCACACAGGGCAAAGAATGCCGCTCGAAACCCAACTTTTCATGGGTGGTTGCACTAATTAATACAGTGTCTGAAGCTCCTAGGGTTTTTTTTTTTTTTCTTTAATATTGAAGCATATGAGGGCGGAGGGGGTTTTCAAAGTTCAGCTCCTGCAGACGACATTCTCTGATTTCTTTCATGCTGTTTTGTCCTGTCTGTGAAGTTAACACAGACAGAAACTGTTCCCTGGCTCCCCAGATGCCGAGATCCCAGCAACAGCAAGGGAACCCCGGCACCTCTGCTTGTGATTTATAGCTTATGGGGCCAGGCATGGGGACTCAGGGGGGTCCATTGCTCATTCCGGGCTTAGGGTGGGGTCGCCCCTCATCCAGCCTGCAAGGGTGCAGAGCCAGCCTGATGCCTTGGTCTGGGCCAAGCAAATAAATGCCCTGGCGCCCCGGGCAGCAGAGAGGAGAGCGCTTGACGTTGGACATAGAATTTGCCAGGCTGAGTCAGGAACTGGGGTAAAAGGGTGGGATGAAGGACAAGCTGAGACCCAGGTCTGTCGCCCTGCCGTCGATCTGACCCTAGGCGTCCTTCGCCTTCCTCATTCTTTTGTCTTATTTCCTTTTCACGTCCTTTGTCCCTCCCCACTCTTCCCCCCTCCTTCTGTTGTTCCTTCTTTATAATCTT